GTGCATCATGGGAGATAAAGTCTGGCTGGTGAGCTTGTGCTACATGAGCAGGGCTTGACAAACAGCAGCGAAATCTACTCACCAGCCCCACACTGCACATGCGCCAGACCTGCATTGCACATGCACGCACCGCCGGTGAACGGGGCGACTGGCTGAAAGTTACCTGCCACTGGCAAGTAGATTGACTGATTTGTTGAGCCCTGTACATGGGGAACATTATGAACTGCTGTAACAACATAGGCAAACAGAAATAATGTCGGTTTTGGCTGAAAAACAAAAACATTTTGCTCCAGGGGCATCTGCTTTTCTGATGAAAAACCAAAATGTCCTGTGGAAAGCAGCAGAATATCATTCAGCCAAAAATCCAATTTTCTGTCAGAAAAAAAAAAGGAAAAAAGAAAGAAGAAGAAAAACAAAGACAAAAACCCAGTTTTGACTGGGTATTGGGGATCAAAACAGTGCAGCTGCATTGGTACAGCTATGCCACTGCACACCGGTAGGTGTAGACATGCCTCGGTTTCCCAGACCTGAGGAAGAGCCCTATAGATCGACAGCTTCTCTCTCACACTAGTGGTCAGGGCTCCAATAAAAGATACTATCTCACCCACCGAGTCTCTCTGAGGTACTTGCAGGGGACTTTCAAGGAAGCATTGGATCCTCTGAAAGACTTGAACTAGCCACTGACTGTGCATCCACACACAGAAGTGAGGAATTTCTACCCCTCCCCCCCAACCGTATTACCAAGGCATAAGGTCCAGGTGCATAGAGTAAGCAAAGCAATGCCTGCCAGGGCTGCTACTACTAATGAAGAATGCAGCCCTTTGCGCTCAGGGCTAAGTGTAAGATTGAAAATTTAGCCCTACCTAAAAACAAAGGGAACTTTTTCCCTATGGCTGCATCTACACAGCAGGGCTTATCTCGAAATGAGTGATGCAAATTGAGCTACGTCAACTGCGAAGCTTATTTCGAAATAGCTTATTTCAAAACTGGGAGTGTCTACACAGCACTTATTTCAAAATAGAGCACTCTTTCTCCAACTTCCCTTACTCCTCGTACAGTTAGGCTGTGTCTACACTGGCCACTTATTCCGGAAAATCAGCTGCTTTTCTGGAATAACTTGCCAGCTGTCTACACTGGCCCCTTGAATTTCCGGAAAAGCACTGACGATCTACTGTAAAATCATCAGTGCTTTTCCGGAAAAACTATGCTGCTCCCGTTCGGGCAAAAGTCCATTTCCGGAAAACTGTTCCGGAAAAGGGCCAGTGTAGACAGCAGAGATTTCTTTTCTGCAAAAAAGCCCCGATCGCGAAAATGACGATCGGGGCTTTTTTGCGGAAAAGTGCGTCTAGATTGGCCACGGACGCTTTTCCGCAAAACGTGCTTTTCCGGAAAAGCATCCTGCCAATGTAGATGTGCTTTTTCCGAAAATGCTTATAATGGAAAACTTTTCCGTTATAAGCATTTCCGGAAAATCATGCCAGTGTAGACGTAGCCTTAGGGTTACAGGAGTCGGAGTAAGAAGTCCTGCAGCTTGACAGTACTTTGACATTATTTAGAAATAACTGCCTGCTTTGTAGATGTGGACTAACAATAGCACAACTACTTCACAAGGAGTATTATGAAGCTAAATACACGAAAGATTGTGAGGTGGTCAGATACTATGGTGATAGCCATATAGGTATTAAAAAAGGCAAGGAATCTCACTTTTGAATTCCAAGTCCTTTTACTACTCTTTTCCCCTCCTTTTAGGTGCGTAAGACATTCTAGGAAGGTTTCTTTCTCAGATATTGGGTCTATAGCCAGAGCCCCTGTCATTGCTCCTTCCCCACTCTGGCATGATAAATGCAGAAGTGAGGGTCAGCAAAAGTACTCCAAACCTTATCTACCCAGGCTTTGGTATAAAACTTTCCCCCAAAATCTTAACAACCTAGATTTTGGGAATAAAATCTCTGCTGTCACCACCCAAATATGCTAAAGAAATCAGGGAGAGACTACTTGGGAAATCTCACCCCTAAAGTACAAATCAGGACACAAAAATTAACCAATACCAGGTTAATAAAAAGAAAAGAAAAATAACTTTTATTATCACCACAATATTTCTGTTGTAAGCATAATGACTAGATGGAACAGTAACAAAATAATATACTCATGGAGGAGAAATTTACCATGGGCCAGGAACTTAATTACAAAGGCGAGCAAAACCCATTTTTAAATGCACAGGCATCAGATCCTGTTTCCCAAACCGTAAAGCAATAAAACCTAATGGATTTATCTAAACTCTATCCTACTTACAGACTTTGAAGAGTATTTTCTTAGAGGGAGACATCCTGTCCCCTTCAATAGCTGGAGAGAAAACTGCCCAGAGACCGAAGGAGGGAAACCCAAAAATTCCTTTGTCCTAGTTTGAAATTCCTACCTACATTCCCATTGGCCACTCCACCTGGCTAGGTGTAGTTAACCCCTTAGTCTCCAGGCTGCTGGCCATCTCTCGTGATCATGACAGCCCCTGTGCCTAAACCTTCAAACCCATCATTGATTGATTAACATTGTAACAGTAAATATGAGGATGATAATGCTTGACAACAGGGAGCCCGCTATCCAGACATCACAACTGATGCTTTCCAAGAATCTTCAGGGGCGTGTCTCTGTAGGCAAGATGTGCTTAGTCATTTGGGGTATGTCTACACTACCGCCCTAGTTCGAACTAGGGTGGTAATGTAGGCAACTGGAGTTGCAAATGAAGCCCGGGATTTGAATTTCCCGGGCTTCATTTGCATAAAGCCGGGCGCCACCATTTTTAAATGTCCGCTAGTGCGGACTCCGTGCCGTGCAGCTACACGTGGCACGGACTAGGTAGTTCGGACTAGGCTTCCTCGTTTCACGAGGAGTAACGGTAGTTCGGACTAGGACTACCTAGTTTTGTCGACAAAAGTGGACTTCTGTCGACAAAACTAACCAGCGTCTACACTACCGCTGAGTTCTGTCGACATAACGTCGACAGAACTCAGCAGTTTTGTCGACGCTGGTATACCTCATTTTACGAGGCATAACACCTTCTGTCGACAGAACTCTGTCGACAGAAGGTGTTATTGCCTGTAACGTTGCGTCCAGACTACGGAGTTCTGTTGACAAAGCAGCTTGCTTTGTCGACAGAACTCAATGTGTCTGGACGCTCTTTGTCGACGGAAGTTTTGTCGACAGTATCTGTTGACAAAACTTCCATCGACAAAACGCGGTAGTCTAGACGTACCCTTGGGCAAGTCATTTCACTTCTTTGTGCCTCCATTTCCCTATCTGGCGAGCAACATCGGTTAATGTCAGCTGTTAGGGAGACTGAAAGCTACTCGGCTTCAGAGATGCCCCTAACTTATGTCTCTGGGAGAGGAACACGATCAGGCGTTCTCTGTGTGTCCCAAGCAACAACTTTATTGTCTTTCCCTTAGTCTTCAGTATTGGAGAGGGGGAAAGCTATGTTGGAATTAACCCTACATTCCCTGAGGACAATGTAATTTCTCTACACCCTGTTTAGTGCACCTATTTTATACCTGAGTTCTTCCTGGGATGACTAGATGCATTAAACATCATTCTCCTGCCCTCCTTTAGGGGAAAAAAAATTAGCTCGGAGTTGTTTTGGTGTTAAGGCTTATGTCGTCAGTGCCACATTGTTACTTTCAGTAGCTCTAGCATCGAGGCCTACTGTGCTTCTCCAAGACTGACTTGTATAGGAGGTACTAAAATGCTTCCCTTACATGATTTGTACCCAGCTGTTGTAAGGGCAGCTGGATGCTTTCCAGTTCCGTGGCAATTATCTGCCCCCAAGAAGTCTGTCTACCCTACAGGGTTTTTGTGCAAAACAGCTGTTTTTGCACAAAAATCCGTGGCGTGTCCACATCTCAAGTGCATTTTTGCGCAAGAAAATTTACAGTAAAATGGCAGAACAGAGGGCTTTTTGCCGTGTAGGTATACCTCTTTCTACGAGAAATAACTCCTTTTTGCGCAAGAGTTCTTGCACAAAAAGGTGTGTGTGGATGCTCAACAGTGGTTTCTTGCACAAAAAGAGCCTATCAGAAAAAGCACAGGTGCTCTGATGGCCATTCACAGAATGGCCATCAGAGTTTTCTTGTGTAAGAGCATCCATGCAGTGTGATGCACTTTTGAGGTGTGGACGTGCTTTTGTGCAAGAAGTTTTTGCGGAAGATCTCTTCTGCAGAAAGCTTCTTGCACAAAAACCCTGCAGTGTAGACAAAGCTGAAGAGTAGGCAGGATTTAATGTTGAAGAACCAGAAGTCTTTAGCTTTTTTTTTCTCATTCTTTTCCTCCCTCTGTTCCAAAACAGGCAAGGGGATGTGTTAAAGGACAATTCCATTGGCCCTGGTCTACACTATGGAGTTATTTTGAAATAACCCCCCTTATTTTGAAATAATAAGCAGAGTTTCCACGCTACCAAGCCTGTTGTTTCGAAATAATGGGTAGGTTATTTTTAAATCTGGGCTCTTGTTTTCCTTGAGAAATAAGCTTCTTTCGAAATAGTTGTTCTGGGAGTTATTTCAAATGTAGTTCTTTTGAAGTAATTCCCTAGTGTAGTTATGGCCTTGCAGTCCTATCATGGGTATGTAGGTTGAGAACTATTCTCTAAGAAATTCCTCCATGAATTTTCAACTGCTCTTTGCTTTTGGATGTCTCTCTTGTTTTATTTCAATGAGGTTATGAATCCAAAAGCCTTATGTCCTCTTGATCCACTGCTACTGCATCAACTATTTGAGAACAATTGGCAGCCAACACAATTTAGAGCAGTCTTTAGGCTGATCTGCATTAAATCAGGGAGCTGGATGAGATCAGGGGACACTTTGCTCCTCTCTGTCCTGAGCTGTGCTGTTGTAAATAACCCACGCACCTTCTCTGTGTGGCTCACTGTCCCATGTAGAATAGTAATAGAAATGTACTGTCCCATGTAGTGGCACTCAGCCCACCTACAGAGAAAACGAATGAGTTTGCTCTACAATCTTAGCAGAGAGCCAGCTGGCTTTTAGCTCATTCACGCACTAAGCTCCAGACGTCCCAGGTTTGGTTCCGCCTGTTGCTGTGACAAGGTGTGATCTCTGGCTGTGACCAGTGTTAGGAAGCCAAAGACTGAAGAGGCGATGGATGCTAAATTAACCTTTCATCTATCAGGGCAATACCTCCTGGTCAGGGTTAAGGACCACGTTGAGGTGCGGCTTGTGCTGATCTTATGCTGTAGGTAACTAGAGAAGTTCAGTCTCCTGGACTATAATTTTAGAACCTAGTTTTGTGTGTTTATTAGTCAAGAAAGTTAACCCTGGGAAGTCACAGCACATATTCTAAGTATGTTTTGAAATGGCAGGGCAGTTTTTCCAGGCATTGATGTAACCAAACCAACCTTGTACCATACTCATTACTGCAAGATTCTTTTGACCTGTACACACTTGCTGGTTTTCCACTAACTGGTAGCAATACCTTTTGTAAAATAATGTGTGTTTGAGTGAGATAACAGTTTTGTTTAAAAGGGGGAATCTCCCTTTTGTCACAGACTGGCTTATTTCCCATTTCCTTTAACAATCCAATGCATTTTTAGCAACTGCTAGGGATTTTCATCTGAGCCCTCTTCTTTTCCCTGAAAGAAAATAGTTTTTTTTAATGTATTAACAAAATCAACACATTCTGCGTAATATATTGGCCCAGTGAGATCAGACCTTTAACAAGCATTTATATCCCAACTCTGAAATGTGCACTTTATATTGCTTATTATTCCTGGGTACTCGTTAAGGGACTACCATCCTAAATCTTTTCCCATAAGCAAATAACACATTTGAATGCGACGTTCAAGCAACATCCTTACATGACAACACTTGTGGGGGAGTTTAAGGAGAAAGAATGAAGAAGTTATTAACAGCTGTAACTTCCAACCTTGAATTATTGACATGTGACATTACAACCTTATGGTTGCGATCTCTAGACATCTCAGAAAATATGACCTTTTGCATTACGATTGGTCTTGAGATGCCTTACAAACAACTGCCACTGGTGTAGTCTGTTGTAGTTTGAACGAAAAAGGAACTGTGAGTAACTGAAGAACTTCATTATACGTTCAGGCAAATCTCTGCGAGACATAGGAGAGCTAATGGATTGTGGGTGGTGCGGCTTCTTTTGAGATCAGGTGAAACTAGTAGAAATGTTGGGTTGTAACTGATTTGCTATTGTAACAGGAGTTAGTTGACTTACCACTTAAAAAAAAAGCAGACTGAAAATATGCATGTAGAAATATAATAAATGCAGAAAGTTGCTCTATAGAGGTCAGCAAGAGAGGCTGATTGGTTCATTTAGTTATGTGTGTTTATGGAAAAATGGGACCTAAATTCCATCCCCGTTGTTATTCATCTGCTTTGCTAGGTCATGTCTTATGAGACAGAGGAAGAAGGTGGAACCAGATTTAGGCCTGAGACAATGTCATTGACTGAAATGCTTTTGCATCTCATCACACCGAGGCTCGGCTGGACTCATTTTCTCTCGACTACTGTAAAGGGGCAGTAATAGACAACCTAATTTTGGCATCCATACAGCTCATAAAAAGTGTTCCTTGGTTTATGACTGAGCCAAGTTCATACCTGATTTAGCTCCATGGATGTTAATGAAGTGACACTATTATTGGACCTGATCCAGTATATCCATTTCTCTATACTGCGGTACGTTATTTTGTGGAGCGTTACAGTAGAAAACAGAGGGTTTGTTACACACAGCTTGTGGAGTCCTTATGGTCTGAAGAAAACAGTTACCGGTACACAGAGGAACACGCCGTTGTGAGGAACAGTATGTATGCTTCCTCATTAAGTGCCATTTTCTCCCTCCGCGCTCGCTACGACATGCCTTAGAATTCTTTAGCACGCTGGGAAAACCAGACTGTTGAGACCTGCAGGCAAAGTTCTACCCTCTGTCCTGAGCCAAGGATCCACTGAAGTTACACATGCCATGGAAGGCAGAATATGCAATAGAATTGCACTTGGAGAAGATGGATTTTGACCCGATCCTTTATTGTTAAAGAGAGCAAGTTGGTGATTGAAACTCAGAATAGACCTGAACCTTCTGAAATTCATCTGCCCCTTTGTCAGAGGAGGAGGACACATTAGATTTAGGGGGTTAAGAGTCAGGAATGAATCAGAATCTTGATAACTTCCATCCCTGGCTGTGTGTGCACAAGCAAAGTCCCATAAGCTCGCTCTGCCCCTTCTGTATAGGGTATATAAAAATACTTGCCTGACTCATAGAGGTGTTAAGCTTGGGGGGAGAAGGGATAGCTCAGTGGTTTGAGCATTGGCCTGCTAAACCTAGGGTTGTGAGCTCAATCCTTATAGAGGCCATTTGAGGTAAAAATTTGTCAGGGATGGTACTTGGTCCTGCTATGAAGGTAGGGCACTGGACGTAAGGTCCCTTCCAGTTCTAGGAAATAGGCACTCTCCATTAATTTAATTTACCAATTAATGTTTTTAACTTACTTTTGGGCTCTGCACATGAAAGGGGCTTACATGCTCTCTCCTTTTGTGTCAGGATGAGTTTCACTTTGAAGACACATCACCATCTGATGAAGCGTGTTTTGCCGACGAAAGCTCATGATGCTATATGTTTTTGTTAGTTTCGTAGCATAGACATGCCCTTAAAGACTATTTCAGAATAACTAACATTGATTTAATAACTCCCGATTTAACAACATCGAAATAGCATGTCCTCACTACGGGGAAGAATCAAAATTAGTCCGAGGCAGGCTCTGTTAATGTGGTCATGCTACCTCAACTTAGAGCCCCAGAAAGCACTGGGGACTACGGTAATTAGTTCGAATTACTCTGGGGTATCGTTATTTCGAAATAGTGGCACCGGAGCATCCACATGATTGCTATTTCAAAATAAGTCTTTTGAAATTAGTGCTATTCCTCGAGTAAAGCAGGAGTACAGATTTCGAAATAAGTGGTCTGTTATTTCTAAATAATGGTGTGGACGCTCTGTTTATAAATTCGACCTACCGGGGGGTTATTGTTGTTTTTAAAGATGCAATTTCCTTCCCTTTGATTCCCCTCTCCCCCGAACTCTCTTACTCAAGGACATCTCTCTTATCTTGGTTGAACTTGCCTCATGGCCATGCAATACCATTCAGTAATTCTGTCAAGTGGTATCTTTGCCTTGTGACAGAGTGTTAAAGAGTGATTTATTGCTTGAATACGCATTGCTTTCACGAAAGCGATTTGTTTAAACAACAGTAAAGCGCTAAATAAATTATTCATTGCATGCTAATTTTTCACTTTTATGTGCGGTAGTAAGTTTCAGAATAAGCAGTCTGTGAAGCATTATATATCTCACATTCATCCTGGGTGATTTTTCCCTGCTAGTCTCTTTTGCAAGGAAGGTCTTTTTCTTCAACCTTTATCCATGCTCCTGGCTTTGCAGTATTTTTTTCCCCCATTGCTTCTACAGAATGGATCAAATGAATTATGTCTGGTGCTTGTGGTAGGGGGTTTGATTGCCGGCATGGGAGATGCTACATGTTTGGAGTTTATGGGTGCTAAGAATTCCTTTAATAAATACTCTGGATTTTACTGTGAGGCACTGTCATTAATACACCCTGTAATGTATGATGCTCACAAATAGCGTGTACATTTTCAAAATGTCTCTCTCTACGATTTCCTATGGAGATTTGTGTGATATTTTCTTTATGCTGCTGGTGGCTAGGGGGGCATTCTGGTTTGCACATAAATCCAGAGGTTTGAATTGCTCCTCATAGGTGTGCTTTCACTTGAGGATGCAGACTTTCCAATTTTGCTTTGAAAATTTTGACTCAGGATATAAAATCTTCACTCCTCAGCAAAGACCCTTGACTTGCTGTCAAGAATGGGTTTGCATAACAGATCAGTTAGGAGACATAACAGCTTGGGTTTTTTTCTAATTGAACCTTTCACCCTTGCTGTGTATCCACGCTACAGAATCACCAGTAACTGTATGATGAGTTAAAGCTATTATTTATAGTGGATCTAATCAATATATTTTAGAGGCATCTGTCTCTGACTCCATCTGTTTGTTCAAGAACTGCTCCTAAATGGTAACAGATAGGATCACAAAATTTGGTAGGCAGCTTCCTTTTACCCTAACTTAAAACAAGGCCAGGGTTTGGTTGTGGCAGGAAAATGGGATGTGCCTGGAATGGGATTGTGTCTTCTACCACTTGGAAAGGGAGGGAGCTGATTAGAGGGATGTGACACTAAACAGTCACCACTGGGGGCAGCGAGCATGGGGTAGGGGGTAGCTATATGTCAGAGTGCCAACAGCTGCACCAGAAAGGGAGAAGCCAGCTGGGGACGGAGCTCTCTATCTTGCTGGGGATGGGGAAGGGAAGGGAATCTCCAACATCCTCACTCTTGCCTCTGCCCACAGAATACCATCAGGACCAGACAGTGCAGTCCCTCCTCTGCCACATGCTGGGCCCACATGCAGCACCATTGGGCTGAGCAGTTTGGATGTGCCAGCAGGACTGCATAGCCTACCTGCCTCTCATCCTGGCCCTTGATCCAGGGAGTGCCGCTGGTGCTGGCTTGCGCCACCAAGAGGCCTCCCTGTTGCCTCCCCCTCTTCACTCCCTGGGAAAAGCCAGGGGAATGCCAGCAGGAGGCCTGCATATACCCCAGCACATACCTGCCTCCGGACTGGACCTGGGCAATGCTGGGTGTGTCCTCTACTCTACTCTACTATATAATTTAGTGTTTGTTTGATCAAGACCTGCTCCTAAAGGATAAGAGCTAGGACTAGCAAATTTGATATACAGCTTCCTGTAATCATAACTGAAAGCAAGGTCAGGGTTTGGTTGCGCCAGGGAAATGTGATGTGCCTGGAATGGAATTGCATCTCAGAAAATGAAACAGAAAAGAGACAGAATCACCAAATCAAGTAGGCTACGTCTATACTGCAATGCTATTTCGGGATACTGGAGTATCCTGAAATAGCTATCCCGCTTCTTAAAGGTAAGCCTGTTATTTCAGGCTCACTCTTCTGACATCCCTGTAATCCTCATTGCACAAGGAGTAAAGGACAATTTGGAATAGTGCTTTATTTTGAAATGTGGCACTATGTAGAGAGAGCCAACGTATGAAATAAGCTATTTAGAAATAAGATTGGAATAAGATACGCAATTTTCGTCGCTCAGATTGTGCATCTTATTTTGAGTTATGGTGCAGTGTAGCTGCACCCGTACAGTCCTCGAAACGGACATAACTGAATGAATGTTGAAGGAGACTGAACCAAGATGAGCCAGAAAAATAAGATGAACCTCCAGTAGGATTGCTTCTCAATAAACCTTACAGAAAAGAGAAAATGGAGAAATTTGGAGCAGTGCTCTGTTTTGGCACAGCTAAATCAACGCTTAAGGTTTGAAAACGAGACGAAAATGTTACTGGAAACCAAACGTTTTTTTGTTAAACTCATGTCATTTGCTATGTTTTATAGAGATGAAATCAAAATCCATTTGGTGGAATTCCCATTTTAAAAAAGTACTAAAATTAACTTCATGAAAATAACATGATTTCCCAAAAATAATCATTTCACGAAAGCATGCACATTTATCCTTTAAAAAAAGATGTGTGGAGGACCCGAGAAATGCTGGGTAAGTCTGCTAGTAGAAGATAAGAGGAGAAATTTTGACCAGTGTTTTCAGGCATCATCTCCCCTGCTCTGATTTTAATTCAGAAATAATCCCCCCAGATGCCCATGTTGTTATACAGTCAAATGACCAAACAGAAAGCTATATTCTCTTGATGCATATATTTAATGTTGATGCTAATGGGCATTACGCATCAAGAAAATAGACAGTTTGTGATAGATTCGACCCATTGAGACTTTGTCTTTGAAAAGCAGTCTGCTACATTCTTCACTACATTCACCTGAACAGCTCTATTGCATTATTATGCTTCAAGCAGACAGACAGACATCTACAATCTGTCTTTCCTTCATCCCCAAATATGACATTCTGCCTGTGAAACAAAAGCTATAGTACTTTTATTTTGGACATCCAAGGGTCTCTGTGTCTGGCCCTCACAGCAGAGAGTATCCTGGGGTCTTTCCTTTTTATTGCTTTTCTCACACTCCTTTGTTCATTGTTTGTAGTACACAATGAGCGTTGGTCAGGAATTTTTCAAAACCATTTTTGTGTTGGAATATGCTGATTCATGAAAATCAGCATATTTTGCTGTAATGTACCAAACTCGCCAACATTGTAGGCGAGAGGTTTCTCAGGTCCAAGATGGAATTTCTGGTCAAAAGTAGTAAGAGTGGGTGAGCCACAAATACTCTTGTGGTTGGGGCCCTTGGTGGAGTTGTGGGCATCCTAGGTTCAAATCCTGCACTGCTATTTCAAACAAGGGACTGGAGGCTGGGTTTTTTCCATCTGAAGTGAGTGCTTGGACAACAGGGCTATTCTGATCTCTCTCTGTCTGCTTTTTCTTTGTTTTCATTTCAAAACCTTCAAAAGGGCTCCCATTTATTCCACTGCAGAATGTGAAAAAATAGGTGGAATTTCACAAATTCACAGGAAAAGAAAGCAGTTTCTCACTGAACTGTACATAGAAGTTGCAATCATGCTTGGGGCCTCTGTGCTATGAATAGGGTTGCCAGATGGTTTCAACAAAAATACCAGACACACTTGACATTACATCACAATCTACATTACATCTTCTTTAGAAAATACCGGACATTTCTATTTTCTCATTTCTATTTTCTCAATTTGTTTCCCAAACAGAAAGCTCAAATATTGGACTGTCCAGTTCAAAACCAGACACCTGGCAACCCTACCCATGCATTGTATGATCACACATTAATAATGGTCAGTCACACTTTATGTCTGTGTCTAGACTGGCAAGTTTTTCTGGAAAATCAGCCGCTTTTTCGGAAAAACTTGCCAGCTGCCTACACTGGCCGCTTGAATTTCCGGAAAAGCACTGATGATCTAAAGTAAAATCATCAGTGCTTTTCCGGAAAAACGATGCTGCTCCCGTTAGGGCAAAAGTCTTTTTCCGAAAGACTTTTGCGCAAAAGGGCCAGTGTAGACAGCACAGTACTGTTTTCCGCAAAAAAGCCCTGATTGCGAAAATGGCGATCGGGGCTTTTTTGCAGAAAAATGCATCTAGATTGGCCACGGACACTTTTCCGCAAAAAGTGCTTTTCCGGAAAAGCGTCCTGCCAATCTAGACGCGCTTTTCCGAAAATGCTTTTAACGGAAAACTTTTCTGTTAAAAGCATTTCCGGAAAATCATGCCAGTGTAGACGTAGCCTATAAGTATAGAACTCAGGTGCAGAGAGATGAAGAAACTCACCCAAAGAACATGCGTCAGAGCCAGGAATTAAACTCAGGTTTTCCGAGTCAGTCTAGTGTTTTAAGCACAAGACTATTCTATTTCATTTTGGATATGTGTACACTTCAAGCTGGGTATTTAATTACCAGCTCGAGGAGATATTTTAATTGCTCTATCTGTGATCGATCTGTCATACTAAACACAGTAAGGTAGCTGCAGCGGTATGAGAAGCCGGGGGTAGCCGCACTAAATATCTTTCTGAGGTTCTGGAAACATACTCAGGGAGCTAGTTCCTCCCATCCCTTGCATTGTCGGGGCTGCATTCAATTTTCAGTTCACAAACTGGATTGCAACTAACACAAGTATGTGTCCTAGAGCTGAGAATTACATACCTTGTTTGAAGTGCAGAGATTGCCACATAGAAGAAGAATGGTCTTGTGGTTAAAGTACTGAACCGACTGCTTTTCTTTCTGTGTCTTCTCCTGGTGGCTGGCATTTGCCTCTTAAGGAATGGAAGGTGGAAGGCTCGGTAAATCAGGGAGCATGGTCTTTTTAGGTGTTTGGACGCATCTGACACTGTGGGCCCCTGATTTTGACTGGATGACTGTTCTAAAAATATTAAATAAGAATATTGTGTTGGACAAAGTTTGCCCCAACAATTTGTGCAATGATGAGGCCATTGAGTTATGCCTCTTTAGCTACTCATGAGCAGAAGGTGGAAATCTTGGTTGAATTAGCTTCAGAAGGGTAGCTGTGTTAGTCGGTAACTGGAAAACACCCTACCACCAACAACAAATAGTCTTGCAGAACATTACAGCAGTGGTCTCTAAGGTTGCCAGATGGTTTCAACAAAACAGCAGACACACTTGACATTACATCACAATCTACTTTACATTTTATTTAGAAAATACCGGACTTTTCTATTTTCTCATTTCTATTTTCTCAATTTGTTTCCCGAACAGAAAGCTCAAATACTGGACTGTCCAGTTCAAAACCAGACACCTAGTGGTCTCCGACCTTTTGAACTACAAGATCACTTTTTCAGTTTTAGTGCAATGTAAGATCTACCTCAAACCCAAATATCCTTGTAGCAAAGGATTACTGCCCAGGGATTCACTCTGAGTCATCCCACCGCTGACACCATGTCATGGCTCATTTCCCCAACCTGGCACTCCGAGTGTATATATGGGGGCTGGCTAGCAGAACAAAACTGTGTAAGAATCTGTCTCTGTAACTCCCAGAGACAAACTTTTCCAGTCTCGGTTTCCCTGTGACCCCAAAAGAAAGAAAACTGATCACTGCCACTTCCAAGTGTAACTGAAAATATAAAATAAACCCTTTTCCAGGGAAGAAATCACTCAGAATCCCCTCCCTGAGCCAAAGCTCTCCCCTTTGCCCCAACTTCTGTGTTGCTATTAGTTGGGAAAACAAAAAGAGATAATCTGCAAGGTCAACGGGGTTCTGCTTCTCCTGGGTAACATAGTTCCACTTAGGCACGTAGGTTTAAATCAACCAATACTTGTTAACCAAAACAGAAAAAAAACCACTTTTTATTATTAAAACAAGACTACTGTTGCAAGCATAGTAAACAGCCATGACTGGCTGTTAAAAGCCATGGATTGAAATAGACACAGAGAGAATCCTGTGGTCAGATAAGTGTGTACCTATTCAATAAGCAGTACGCGTCCACATGAAGCATGTGTGCTTGGATTTAAATCTGTCCCATTACTCCCTGTCTCACTCCATCTCCATGGTGCAAGGCAGAGCCAGAAAATGTACAGCGGTGGAAGATGCTCAAACCCTGGGTTAGGTCATAGTGCAGCAGAATGCTACTTTGTTGCCATGGCAATCTCCCAGGAGTCACTGTGTGAGGGCATTGTTGTGGTGGATACCATGTGGGGAGGCTGCAATAGTAGCTAAGGGTGGATCTGACAGCAGGCCTGGCGGCACTGATACAACCAGATGGGAAGGGGCTCCCTGCACAGCCAAGGAGCCAAAGGCACCAGGATGCAAGGTGTGGGGGAGTCTGCTGTCTTCCTGGCCCAGTGGCGCACAGACCCTGGACAAAACTGCAAGGAGAAGTCCAGGGCTGTTGGATAGGCCACTCCACCGTTGAACACTTCTGGCCTGGAGATGGCTCCCATGCTCCTGACAGGTGACGGAGAGAAGGGGGGAAGGAGGCCATGACAGCAGAGCGACAGACATCAACATGCACTACTGCAGGACCAGTTGTAATGGGTCCCTGCAGTCACAAGGTGCAGGGTGGAGAATGTGGTTACTGCAAGGAGGAGGACAAACTCTGGACATATCTAATTTACGAGACTTTGTGATATTCCATCACCTCCCAAAAGAGCCTCCAGTTGCCATTGCCAGCCACTGTTATTTGGGTGAGTAGATTTAATGCAAGATTTTCCAAAGGCAATAGTGATTTTCGGTTTCCCCAACTAGGGACTTCTTAAAGAGGCCTGATTTTAAGAAAGCACTGAGCACTCAGCCTCTGGAAATCTGGCCCTTTTAAGATGTACTTCTAACTGAGGAACCAGAATTCAAGATGTCCAAGCCAACTGCGCTTAGAAAGTGCTGGCAATTCTCCCAGACTTTGAAAAGTTTGGCTGCTGTAAGGTAGAGTGAATACAAGCAGAGAGAGGGTAAGTTTAGAAGATAGGATACACAAAGAACAAGTTAAAAATCACTTAGGAAAGTTAGATGTCAGCAAGTCCCAGGATACTCAAGGAGCTGATAGAGGAGGTATCTGAGCCTTTAGCTATGATTTTTGAAAAATCACGGCAGACAAGGGAGATTCCAGAAGACTGGAAAAGGGCAAATATTGTGCCCATCTATAAAAAGGGGAATAAGAACAACCCAGGAAACTACAGACCGGTCAGTTTAACGTCTGGCCCAGGGAAGATAATGGAGCAGGTAAGTAAGGAAATCATATGCAAACACTTGGAAGGTAATAAAGTGATAGGGAATAGCCAGCATGGGTTTGTGAAGAACAAGTCATGCCAAACTAATCTGATAGCTTTCTTTGATAGGATAACGAGCCTTGTGGATAAGGGAGAAGCGGTGGATGTCATATCCCTAGACTTTAGTAAGGCATTTGATATGGTCTCGCATGATATTCTTATTAATAAACTAGGCAAATATAACTTAGATAGGGCCACGATAAGGTGGATGCATAATTGGCTGGATAACCGTAGTCAGAGAGTTGTTGTTAACGGTGCTAAATCCTGCTGGAAAGGGATAACAAGTGGAGTTCCTCAAGGGTCTGTTTTGGGACCCGTACTGTTCAATATCTTCATCAATGATGTAGATATTGGGATAGAGAGTACGCTTATTAAGTTTGCAGATGACACCACACTGGGTGGGGTTGCAACTTCTTTGGAGGATAGGGACATAATTCAAAATGACCTTAGCAAGTTAGAGAAATGGTCAGAGGTAAACAGGATGAAGTTTAATAAAGAGAAATACAAAGTGCTCCACTTAGGAAGGAACAATCAGTTCCATACATACAAGATGGGAAGCGACTGTCTAGGAAGGAGCATGGCGGAAATGGATCTAGGGGTCATAGTGGACCACAAGTTGAATATGAGTCAACAGGGTGATGCTGCTGCAAAAAAAGCAAATATGATTCTAGGTTGTATCAACAGGTGTGTTGTAAGCAAAACTCGTGAAGTCATTCTTCCGCTCTACTCTGCACTAGTTAGGCCTCAGCTGGAGTACTATGTCCAGTTCTGGGCGCCACATTTCAAGAAAGATGTGGAGAAATTGGAAAGGGTACAGAGAAGAGCTACAAGAATGATTAAAGGTCTGGAGAACATGACCAATGAAGCCAGGCTTCATGAACTGGGCTTGATTAGTTTGGAAAAAAGAAGATTAAGGGGGGACATGATAGCGGTTTTCAAATATCTAAAAGGGTGTCACAAGGAGGAAGGAGAAAATTTGTTCCTCTTGGTTTCTGAGGACAGGACAAGGAGTAATGGGCTTAAAGTTCAGCAAGGGAGGTTTAGATTGGACATTAGGAAAAAATTCCTAACTGTCAGGGTGGTCAAATATTGGAATAAATTGCCAAGGGAGGTGGTGGAATCTCCCTCTCTGTAGATATTTAAGAACAGGTTAGATAGACATCTGTCAGGGATGGTGTAGACGGAGCTTGGTCCTGCCTTGAGAGTGGGGGGCTTGACTCGATGACCTCTCGAGGTCCCTTCCAGTCCTATGATTCTATAAAATCTTTTGAGTTGTGAGGCACAATGTCTTTTCAACCAAAATGGAAGTTTTTCCAACTAAACCACTTGCTGCCTTGGGCAGATTTGAACCTGGGACCGCTGGAGTTTAGTATAGGAGCTTCTACTGCTTGAGCTAAAAAAACAGCTGGCTCTCAGCTTACGCTGTAGAGCAGCCATGGCCAACCCGCAGATTACGAGCCACATGCGGCTCTTCCCCTCCTCCCCTGAAAAGTGCGGCTCGTGAAGCCACTCCTGCACCCTTCCAATGGCCCCCGGCCCCTCCTCCTCCACCCCTTGTGACCCTGTGTTCACCAGGTCAGCAATTCAAAATGGCATCCAAGATGGTGGCCGTTGATGGGAACCTGATACAGTCAAAAAGCCTAAGCTTGCTTGGTCCGTAAAGGGGCAGCCTCCTTTTTTAATTGTCTTTTTTTTTTTTGCTTGACAATTCTGATGCAGCTCTTTGCATTACCTCCGCTGCTGTTTTGGCTCTCTTTGTTAAATGGATTGGCCACCCCTGCTGTAGAGATCCCGTGTTCTTATCTTTCACTGTAAGCGAAGTAAGTGCCACTCCATGGGACAGTGAGGTGTGTGGGTTACATGAGGACCAGATGACCTGCAGCCTATCACCTAGGTGTCAGAAACTTCACCTGGGCTCTGGCTAATTAGTCATGGGTGGGGCTAAGTCCTGCTCTGCCAAAGGACCGCCCCTTCCTGTGTCACGTCTCATAAACAAGGAAAGGAGGGGAACCCACTTCAAAACTAATTTACTCCTGGAGTCTGAAGGCAAAGCTGTATTTTTAGCTGTGATAGTAGAGTTTATATCCCTGGAAAGAAAGTAAAGTTTAATTTTTTATCTTAGTTTTTAAAAAGGCTCTTAGCAGACAGACATAAAACCAGATTTTCAGCTCCTTTTCGCATGTGTGCATGCATGTATGTACGCACCACTGTATCCACTGTTCTTTGCTTCTCGCCCTTGTTAGTTTGTATTGACTGGTAAGAGGGGGAGTGGGAAAGGGAAACAAACAAATAAACAAACATGAAGGGTGAGACATTCTGTTTCATTTCATTACAGCCTTCCATCACAGCCCATACTCTGACATTTAGAACAACATAATACGTATGTCTTTGATCGTTAGGTTCCTCTAAGCTATCTAGCGACAGCCCGGGAAAACAAAGCAAAAAATCCAACCACTGCAACAAGAAAACCCACCATGATATTAAACCTTTTGAAGTTTAAAGAACAAGGAAATGAAAGCACCAAAGTGGATACTTTTAAAAAAGATGATCTTTCATAGACTATTGAAATAAAAGTTTAACACAAAGTGCAAATGGGAATCTGGCATAAGTGAGCAATTTTGCTGCCCAGCTGTGATTTGTTCATATTTCACGTGTGGTTTGGAGCAACTGTATTGCTGCTGCTTGCTGTCTTGCAGGCCTCAGATAGTACCCCAATTAGTTGCATATGGCTCTTGGGCCACAGGTTTCCACTACTGATATACACCCTTAACATGCTCAAAACAGCCTTCACCAAATAAGGACACTCTACCAAAGAAGTTGATCAACAGGACACCTAAGTACCCTGAGAGAACTTTCTTCATGACAGAAATTAAATGCCTCCCTCCCCAACCCTACACCTTTAGTTGTCACCTGCCACTTCACAATGGGACCCATAGGTTGTATCATCAAAGAACTCCAACCTCTACTCAACGGAGACCTGATCCTGAAGAAATTGTTCCTGAACCCCTTCTTTTGGCCTTCAAATAGCTCCCCTCATCTCTACAGACTCATCCTTAGAAATAAGCCACACACAGACCAGGCCACACCAAATCAAAGAAGCACCAGAAGCTGCCAGAGTAGCTAATGCAAAGCAAGCACATGGTTCTCCAGTGTCACAACTATCTACACCCCCACAAGATCCATGGTTCCTCACATGCCTATCACAACGCATGGGGTACCTCTGCCAATGCACTAAATGCCCCAGTATCAGCGAGGTGGGTGAAACCAGACAATCCACTCAAACTCACACAGGAAAATGGTAAAAGACAAAAAACACCATAAACACTTATGAGTGAACGCTTCTCACAAAGTGATCACTCTAGATGCTTGCCTACACTTACAGCACTGTACAGGTTTGGCTGTGCCACTGTCGCACTGTATTTCACCATAGGTATTTCACCATCCTGAGAGTTGTAGCCCTGTCATTGGGAGAAGCCCTCCCAACTACATAGTGCTGTCTACACTGGGGGGGTAGGTTGCTGTGGATTTTTCAGAGTGACGTAGTGATATCAGCATAAATTGGTAGTGTAGGGCAAGCCAAACTCTGTCTTATTAGTCCTCTTCCTCAAAACCCATACAACACTTTTAAGAGATGAGTCTGGGAGCTTAAATGCATAATTTCGTAGACACTAAAAAATATGGTCGTACTAGAGACACTGGATTTATTGCTTATTACTGCAATCTGTAACCCACTAACTCTCTTTGGGTATGTCTACACTAGAAAGTTAGTTCGAACTAACGGACGTTAGTTCGAACTAACTTTCCTATGCGCTACACTAGCGCTCCGCT